TTTTAAGAATGAGAACCTTTATTGCAAAAAGAGTTGTCTGAGCCCTGTAATAATGAAACACCAACTCTTCCTAAGTATGTATCTTTAACATAACTACTGTAAGGCTAAAAAAAAAAATAATCTATTACACATCAAATATAGGACATGATACAATTTTTTTTTGTCCTAATGATGGCCTCTAAATTGCTGTTCTGAAACTCAAAGATTCTCGCTCATATGTTATTTTCCATGCATTCAAAAAAATCACTGTATTAAATCCTTCTGGCCAGATTCTCATGAACCTCAAACTTGCCCTGACTTCTGTGAGGACTGTAGGCTTTCCTTGTTCATTAGTTAGTGAACTTAACCTTAGCTTGGTCACTGTGATGACAGTAAACTCCCAGCTACAATCTATGGAATGTCATGGCGGGGGAGGGAAGGAAATTTTTCTATTCAGGCAAATGAGGAAGAAGGCTTCATCTGATCCTGGCTTTTACATCTTACCCATTAGTCTTAGTTTTCTGCCTTCTCTTTGTATATGCAATGCTAAAACCAGCACCTTATTGAGAAGCAATCTATGTTTATGCAAACTTTTTTAATTACAAAGCCAAAAATCCAACTGATACCATACCCCTAGTTTTTCCTCTCTTTTCATAGTCAAAGACTGACTTGAGAACTGTAGCACTAATGTTATCTTGGAATATGATACAATCTACTGCATTTGTGAACACTAAGGATGATGTTGAGACCAGAATTTGGTTATTAATACATAAAGTTCTTTTCAGCAAAATAGGTAAATACAGTTTTATTCTCAAACAATAAACAATAAAACCAATTATGGGAAAGAGTATAGAACCTTAATAGACTACACTAGAATTCCCCCAGAAGTCATTCAAAACTGTGATTCTAGTGACACCTAGTGATCTAACATAAAGTTTGTATCCACAGAATTATAATCTAATGTTTAGTAACTCAATTTTGAATAAAGTGCCGAACCACTACATGTCAAACTAAGTTTAGAGTTCTCTGGAGCATCAAATAGAGATGATATTCAACATGCTGGACTTCCGTGGCTATTACTAAATTCTGGATAATAATGAGCACAGATGTAAACTACATTAATTTACATTAATTCAGAGATTTCATTGATACAGAGAAGCTAAACAGAAGAAAATTTGGCCATTAAATACCTTATAAGAATTTTTTACTTTGCAGACAAATCTCAATGTAAATGATTTATAGAACCATAGAATAGTTTGGGTTGGAAGGAACCTTTAAAGGTCACCTAGTCCAACCCCCCTGCCATGGGCAGGGACATCTTCAACTACATCAGGTTGCTCAGAGCCC